CCTACCCAATCCCTTCCTGTAATGTGACCTACCCAATCCCTTCCTATAATGTGACCTACCCAATCCCTTCCTGTAATGTGACCTACCCAATCCCTTCCTATAATGTGACCTACCCAATCCCTTCCTGTAATGTGACCTACCCAATCCCTTCCTGTAATGTGACCTACCCAATCCCTTCCTGTAATGTGACCTACCCAATCCCTTCCTATAATGTGACCTACCCAATCCCTTCCTATAATGTGACCTACCCAATCCCTTCCTGTAATGTGACCTACCCAATCCCTTCTGTAATGTGACCTACCCAATCCCTTCCTGTAATGTGACCTACCCAATCCCTTCCTATAATGTGACCTACCCAATCCCTTCCTATAATGTGACCTACCCAATCCCTTCCTATAATGTGACCTACCCAATCCCTTCCTGTAATGTGACCTACCCTATCCCTTCATGTAACATGACCTACCCTATCCCTGCTAATACAACGGTGCCAGCCTACAGTGAATCTTGTGAGCAAGACGTCTGCCTGTCGTCTGTTTGTCGTCTGCTTGTTGTCTGCCTATCTTACCATTTGTCTGATTTCATACCTCGTGTTTGGTGGATATTAAATCAATAATGGCATCTTTTATTTGTCGAGATATTCTCCTCAACACGTCACAACATTCGGGAAAGTTTGAAACAAACCTTAATGAAACGATCCACGATGCATTCTTCTGCCTATTGGCTGGACTGGCACATAGCGAAACCTAAGGGAAATCACTCCAGTAGTAGAACAACAGGCTGAACTCATTGTTCAATCCCGTTGTTGATAAACCAAAGTATAACATAACCATACGCATACCAATAACCAAATAAATTTGTCTCAACGTTTTTTTTAATTATTCTGTCTTCTGTGTCGTAGTTTATAAACATATTAAAAAGTCTTCTCAAAATTAAAAAGTTAACACACATTTTAAGGCTTGGCAGCCTAACAAAATAGCGCCGCTGGATACGTGCGGGTAAAGAAAAAAAAAATTACACATTCTATTTCTTAGTTTTTACCAACATCTGCAAGTTATCGTTCGTGAATCAAAATGAAAACACGAGTTATGTTTCCTTAGTTGCACAACTAGATCATGCTATTTATTTTCAAACTTTATTTTTTTTTATTAAGCCGAAATAATTTGTAAACATTGATTGTAAAACCTGTATGTCTATTAATATTTGATTCGCACCTATCGTTTCAAAAGTCCGATCCCAATTTTTGTTCTAGCTTAGACAGCCAGCAACTACTGAACACTAAGAAAGCCCCAAACAACAACATTCTCGCCTAACCTCGTTAGTAATGGAGATGTGGCTAAAGCTCTAATCAAGCCTCTCTGATGTCGGTAAACGGATTAGGGTTTTAATAGTCTTTGTGTCTGTGGAGTCTCCTGGACCGCCGGGGTAAAGGTCAGCACGATGAAGTCAGGCTTAGAGAAAGTTGAGACGGGTAAACTCAGCACACGGTCTTGTGGGAGTGGGGGAGCTATGTGTGATGTAGTAGATGGTGGGTGGTTGGGTGTGGTGGATGTTGTAGTAGATGGTGGGTGGTGGTTGGTTGGGTGTGGTGGATGTTGTAGTAGATGGTGGGTGGTGGTTGGTTGGGTGTGGTGGATGTTGTAGTAGATGGTGGGTGGTGGTTGGTTGGGTGTGGTGGATGTTGTAGTAGATGGTGGGTGGTGGTTGGTTGGGTGTGGTGGATGTTGTAGTAGATGGTGGGTGGTGGTTGGTTGGGTGTGGTGGATGTTGTAGTAGATGGTGGGTGGTGGTTGGTTGGGTGTGGTGGATGTTGTAGTAGATGGTAGTTGGTTGGCTGGTGGTTGGTTGGGTGTAGTGGATGTTGTAGTAGATGGTGGGTGGTGGTTGGTTGGGTGTGGTGGATGTTGTAGTAGATGGTAGTTGGTTGGCTGGTGGTTAGTTGGGTGTAGTGGATGTTGTAGTAGATGGTAGTTGGTTGGCTGGTGGTTAGTTGGGTGTAGTGGATGTTGTAGTAGATGGTAGTTGGTTGGCTGGTGGTTGGTTGGGTGTAGTGGATGTTGTAGTAGATGGTGGGTGGTTGGGTGTGGTGGATGTTGTAGTAGATGGTGGGTGGTTGACTGGTGGTTGGTTGGGTGTGGTAGATGTTGTAGTAGATAGTGGGTGGTTGGATGTGGTGGATGTTGTAGTAGATGGTGGATGATTGGGTTAAAGGTCAGCACGACGGAGTCAGGCTTAGAGAAAGTTGAGACGGTTAAACTCAGCACAAGGTCTTGTCGATAGTGTGAAAGAGATCAAGTTACAAAACCAATATTTGTGTGTATTATTGTGTTGTCTATCTAGGCAAAACGCTGGCAAGTAAACAATGAAAGTTGCCAGTAGATGATGAGATACACGATCCACAATATTGACAGATTAAAGTATGATCGTGCCATCTAATGCGTCCTCTTTACTTTACCATATAGCCTACTTTATTTTTAAAAAATACATCAAAGAACATCGATACCTGAATCCGGGTTCAAGTCAGTAGACCCTCCCTGAGTCCACCCAGCATTGTTGGGTACTTAACTCACGTTAGCGAAAGGAAAAGTGGCTGGGCATCGTGCTGACCACACAATCCCTTCATATCAGAGGCGTAGCGAGGGGGGAGGGGGGGGGACGGACATAGGCCCCCGGGCGCCGACATTAGGGGGGGGGCGCCAAAATGGGTTGGAAAAACAAATTGAAAGATTGAGGTGGGGGGTGCAAATAAAACGTTCGAGGGGGGGGGGGGGTGCAAATCGAAAGTTTAAGGGGGGGGGGTGCAAATCGAAAGTTTGTCCCCGGGCTTCATATGCCGAGTTCACTGAAACATGAACTCTACTTCACTTGCCCCATAGACCGTCAGGTTCAAAAGGGGAACTTTACTTTTTAACATTGACTTTTCCCACATACGTTTATTTTCAACTTGTACCAAAAAAAAAAAAACAACAGCAAACAACCACTTTATAATTTAATTAACAAAAACACTACCATAAATTCAAACGCAAATTGCAGCCAGCTAAATATTAGACAAAACAAAACCATTTTTTTTCTCTTATGTATCTCGTCTAACTGGGCTTTACATTTCAAAAGAACCATTTATTTGAGAGTTAACGGCCCTGCTATACGAGCTGGGTGTAAACATATCAGGCCGGCTTAAGGCATCAGCTCAAGGACTGGGCAAGTAGCACTCAAAGGCCGTCATCAAACACATATCGGTCAACATAATAAGCCGCGCATCCAATTATTTAATTACAAAAACTTTGACGTACAAACTGTCAAAATGAACGGAAAAATTAAAAAAAAAACCTTTATTAGCTAATTAGGTTTACATTTTTTTGTTAGCTCCATTTATACTCTGGTTATATACACGCTGTTAAAATGAATACCTTAGTTTAATTATAACAAAATAAATTATGTATTGGTTTGCATGGACGAGCACGACATGTTGCATATTTCTTATACCCCTCCGACATGTTGCATATTGCATCTACCTCTCCGACATCTTGCATATTGCATCTACCTCTCCGACATCTTGCATATTGCATCTACATCTCTCACTAGTGTTTGTTTAGAAAAAATGAACGACCTACACTAAAATGATTTAAATGAACAAGGTAAACTATAATGTGTTTTTCAGCTAAAGATTAAAGTACACCAAATTGTGTTTCAATGACCTCGACATACAGTGGTCAGTGTGGTCAACACTTTGCCCATCCGCTTTTGTTTCCCTAACACGAATCAGATTCTCATCGTATATGGGTGGACTTGAGGACGTCTTAGAGATTTGAGCAAGAGATCCGAATTCGTGACTTTTGGGTTAGCAGTTGTAAGCACTACCTACCGACCACGATTCGTCAGTGTATAAAGCTATGAGTCAACTGTGTGTTGCTGCCCCCCCCCCCCTCCTCCATCAACTACAGCTGGTCTATTTGTTTTTTCAAGTCGAGCGCGTTCTTCTATAGAACAAATCCAATGGGGTCGCCCGTTGTTTCACACTGAAGTTGGATTGATATTTAACCCACAGCTGTCATGCGTCTACCTAATGTTGGCGATTGTGTCGATAGCAAAGTTTCTGGTCTGGTAAACGTTTATTGACTGTATTGAACCGAGAGTTACATTGATCAGCCGTAATGTTCATGTTGTTCTAAATACGTCCTGGTTGCTACACACTTGCTTTAGGTAAATTGGAAGTTCAAGTATTCGGTGGGGAAAAATTAACTATTTCATGGTGATGGCGTGGTAGGGTGGTAGAGCACAGGACTGCTAGCCCGATAGTCTCGAGTTCACATCCCGGGCTTTAACCCACCCAGCTGAGTACCTGACTCGTGTTACAGAGAAAAACAAAGGCGTCTGCGTAATTTTGCTACCCACATAAGCCGAGAAACATTTTAACTCTAAATCATCGGAGATTTCCTCTTCTTTACTGAATCGTACTCAAGTGAGCGCATTACCACAAAAATAAGGTAAAATAACAATTTCGACTACCGGAAAATTATCCAAAATTTGAAAAGCGCATACAATGAAATACTTATAGATGAAATTTCGTCCACATACTCTAAATAACACTCATGTTATTGGCTTTTCAGAAACCGGAAATAGAGTAAGAACCACTTCCGGTTACCGGATTTCGCTCAAAAGTTGATAGGGAACTACAAATTTGATATACATAATAAATAATTTCGTTAACATAACTCATACGGAACTCAAGTTATCGTGTTTACAGACAGACACACCCACACACAGACATATAGACATACGAACAAAATTTCAAAACTAAGTTTTCCCGACTCATAGAAGTGTAAAACGTCGAGATTTGTGAAAATCTTGATTTCGATTTTTTGCACGATAACAATAATTCCTCTATAATCTGTATACGAGGAAGTAATAATGGAAATAAATAATTAAAAATATTATTTAAGAAGCTATGGTGTATATTGACAGCTCAAGACAGCAGTAGTACGCAGACAAAACAATCTACTTACCCGATTGCTTAATGAAAACTGTGTGTCGTAAGAAATGATGGGAATTCCTAAAGATTCGATAATCTTCGGGAGGTAGTGCACTGGGAAAAGTATAAAACAATGAATTAAAACAAATACTCACTGACAACACACTTTTAGTAATCTTTATTTAGAATCAAAGCCACATGTCAAATATCCCCTGTATCAGAGTCCCCCCCCCTGTATGAGATAGGCAAGCCTACGTCATCCCTGCTATGAGATCAGCAAGCCTACGTCATCCCAACTATGAGATCATAGCCTACGTCACCCCATGAGATCATCAAGCCTACGTCACCCTTCTATGAGATCATCAAGCCTACGTCATCCCATCTATGAGATCATAGCCTACGTACCCACCTGTATCAGATCTATACGAGCTGAGGGTGTAGTGATTGTTTACAAAGTAAACTGCGATGGTGTTCTTTGGGAAAAGTTTCGTACACAGCATGTTGAGAATCTCCCTGGGTGGGTATGTGCCTGAGTTGTGTTCACTCACACTCAGGTTAAATACATTCAACATTGTTCTGGAAACAAGCACACAACAAGTAGGTTAACTTTATAGACTTTATTACATACGCACACACATGTATATATATATATATATATATATATATATATATATATATATATATATATATATATATATATATATATATATATATATATATATATATATATATATTTTTTTTTTTTTTTTTAACCTATGAGCTATGACATCTGTCTGCATCTGATGATGTCTCTGACACACCATCTTACAATGTCACTGACACACCAATGTACGATGTCACTGACACACCAATGTACGATGTCACTGACACACCAACTTACGATGTCACTGACACACCAACTGACAATGTCACTGACACACCAATGTACGATGTTACTGACACACCAACTTACGATGTCACTGACACACCAACTTACAATGTCACTGACACACCAACTTACGATGTTACTGACACACCAACTTATGATGTCACTGACACACCAATGTACGATGTCACTGACACACCAATGTACGATGTCACTGACACACCAATGTACGATGTCACTGACACACCAATGTACGATGTCACTGACACACCAACTGACGATGTTACTGACACACCAACTGACAATGTCACTGACACACCAACTCATGTTGTCACTGACACACCAACTCATGTTGTCACTGACACACCAACTCATGTTGTCACTGACACACCAACTTACAATGTCACTGACACACCAACTGACAATGTCACTGACACACCAACTCATGTTGTCACTGACACACCAACTGACAATGTCACTAACACACCAACTGACGATGTGACTGACTTACTGGTTGTTAGGCCAATGCTCCATGTGTATCCGGAATGTGACATTAAATTTACTGCCGTAGGATCGTTCTGTACCTGGGAAGATGGCGTGGAGGTTGACCTTAGTCGGGCCGTGGTTGGGCTGGACCAGAGAAATGTACATACTACTCAACACCAACAGGGTCTGCAATGAAAGAGTTGTAGAACTTCATCGAATCATTCGATACAGTTAAATATCATTTGTTCATTCGGCAACCTGACGGTTTCAAGCAAGAGTAATTCAGCTATTATCTTACATTAATGTTAGTGTAACTAATTTTTTAAAAAAATTCTCTAACAAAATCGGACAACACATATTGTAATCTAAAAGCTAAGGCGCTATAGGCTATAGCTTTATACAAGTGTTTAGTGCTCGCATAGATCTGTGTACCTATTTTATCTCTTGTTTTTAAAGGCATTTATCTGTGGGCATATTTTATCTGTTGTTTTTAAAGGCATTTATCTGTGGACATATTTTATCTGTTGTTTTTAAAGGCATTTATCTGTGGACATATTTTATCTGTTGTTTTTAAAGGCATTTATCTGTGAACATATTTTATCTGTTGTTTTTAAAGGCATTTATCTGTGGACATATTTTATCTGTTGTTTTTAAAGGCATTTATCTGAGGACATATTTTATCTTGTTTTTAAAGGCATTTATCTGTGAACATATTTTATCTGTTGTTTTTAAAGGCATTTATCTGTGGACATATTTTATCTGTTGTTTTTAAAGGCATTTATCTGTGGACATATTTTATCTGTTGTTTTTAAAGGCATTTATCTGTGGACATATTTTATCTGTTGTTTTTAAAGGCATTTATCTGTGGACATATTTTATCTCTTGTTTTTAAAGGCATTTATCTGTGGACATATTTTATCTCTTGTTTTTAAAGGCATTTATCTGTGGACATATTTTATCTCTTGTTTTTAAAGGCATTTATCTGTGGACATATTTTATATGTTGTTTTTAAAGGCATTTATCTGTGGACATATTTTATCTGTTGTTTTTAAAGGCATTTATCTGTGGACATATTTTATCTGTTGTTTTTAAAGGCATTTATCTGAGGACATATTTTATCTGTTGTTTTTAAAGGCATTTATCTGTGGACATATTTTATCTGTTGTTTTTAAAGGCATTTATCTGTGGACATATTTTATCTGTTGTTTTTAAAGGCATTTATCTGAGGACATATTTTATCTGTTGTTTTAAAAGGCATTTATCTGTGAACATATTTTATCTGTTGTTTTTAAAGGCATTTATCTGTGGACATATTTTATCTGTTGTTTTTAAAGGCATTTATCTGTGAACATATTTTATCTGTTGTTTTTAAAGGCATTTATCTGTGGACATATTTTATCTGTTGTTTTTAAAGGCATTTATCTGTGGACATATTTTATCTGTTGTTTTTAAAGGCATTTATCTGTGGACATATTTTATCTGTTGTTTTTAAAGGCATTTATCTGTGGACATATTGTATCTGTTGTTTTTAAAGGCATTTATCTGTGGACATATTGTATCTGTTGTTTTTAAAGGCATTTATCTGTGGACATTTTATCTGTTGTTTTTAAAGGCATTTATCTGTGGACATATTGTATCTGTTGTTTTTAAAGGCATTTATCTGTGGACATATTTTATCTGTTGTTTCTAAAGGCATTTATCTGTGGACATATTTTATCTGTTGTTTTTAAAGGCATTTATCTGTGGACATATTTTATCTGTTGTTTTTAAAGGCATTTATCTGTGGACATATTTTATCTGTTGTTTTTAAAGGCATTTATCTGTGGACATATTGTATCTGTTGTTTTTAAAGGCATTTATCTGTGGACATATTGTATCTGTTGTTTTTAAAGGCATTTATCTGTGGACATTTTATCTCTTGTTTTTAAAGGCATTTATCTGTGGACATATTTTATATGTTGTTTTTAAAGGCATTTATCTGTGGACATATTTTATCTGTTGTTTTTAAAGGCATTTATCTGTGGACATATTTTATCTGTTGTTTTTAAAGGCATTTATCTGAGGACATATTTTATCTGTTGTTTTAAAAGGCATTTATCTGTGAACATATTTTATCTGTTGTTTTTAAAGGCATTTATCTGTGGACATATTGTATCTGTTGTTTTTAAAGGCATTTATCTGTGGACATATTGTATCTGTTGTTTTTAAAGGCGTTTATCTGTGGACATTTTATCTCTTGTTTTTAAAGGCATTTATCTGTGGACATATTTTATCTGTTGTTTTTAAAGGCATTTATCTGTGGACATATTTTATCTGTTGTTTTTAAAGGCATTTATCTGTGGACATATTTTATCTGTTGTTTTTAAAGGCATTTATCTGTGGACATATTGTATCTGTTGTTTTTAAAGGCATTTATCTGTGGACATTTTATCTGTTGTTTTTAAAGGCATTTATCTGTGGACATATTGTATCTGTTGTTTTTAAAGGCATTTATCTGTGGACATATTTTATCTGTTGTTTCTAAAGGCATTTATCTGTGGACATATTTTATCTGTTGTTTTTAAAGGCATTTATCTGTGGACATATTGTATCTGTTGTTTTTAAAGGCATTTATCTGTGGACATATTGTATCTGTTGTTTTTAAAGGCATTTATCTGTGGACATTTTATCTGTTGTTTTTAAAGGCATTTATCTGTGGACATATTGTATCTGTTGTTTTTAAAGGCATTTATCTGTGGACATATTGTATCTGTTGTTTTTAAAGGCATTTATCTGTGGACATTTTATCTGTTGTTTTTAAAGGCATTTATCTGTGGACATTTTATCTGTTGTTTTTAAAGGCATTTATCTGTGGACATATTGTATCTGTTGTTTTTAAAGGCATTTATCTGTGGACATATTGTATCTGTTGTTTTTAAAGGCATTTATCTGTGGACATTTTATCTGTTGTTTTTAAAGGCATTTATCTGTGGACATATTGTATCTGTTGTTTTTAAAGGCATTTATCTGTGGACATATTTTATCTGTTGTTTTTAAAGGCATTTATCTGTGGACATTTTATCTGTTGTTTTTAATATTATATGGGTTATACAAATCTATGTAAATAGTGATCACATTTTTCGAAATAATTAATTAACAATTAATATTTATTATATAAGTATATAAAAAATAAAAATTAGTTTCAAAATACAAAATTAACATTTTGTATTGGCCAATAAAGGCTGTAATTAACGTGATATTACGGCAACTTTACTTTTTTCGGCGAAGAGAAGGGAGTGGCAAGGTGGGGCTATAGATTGTTAAAAACGTATAACGTCAATTTTGGAGAACCCCTGCCTATATGTGTTATTTATCCTTCGCTAGCATGTGTCCTTGCATATCATTTTACAAACACGTGAACAAAGTAGCAAAAAAAAAAAAAACACAAACACACAACAATAATCGATCAAGTAATAAACATATCGTAGCCGTCTAATTTTTTGGTGGTCGTGTATTTTGGAGTTTTATTTTTGGCCGTTCATGTGGTGAGTGTGAAGCGGACTCTGGTCGATTGGACGGTGTTGGATTAGCTTGGCCGTCCATCCCCAGGGGAGGGCCACCCTTTCGCTAGGAACGACAACTGTTTAACAAAGGGGGAGAAGCGAAAGACTAATTCTAACCATGTGTTTTTTGTCTTTTGTGTAGCTTGAATTTTAGCTTCTGTTGCGAGGCGGGATGGCCAGTTCTAAGAGACTATTTGCCCTCTGTTAAGAGGCCAGTTGGCCAATAATAAGAGGCCAGTTGGCCAATAATAAGAGGCCAGCCGGTCTTTGTTCTAGAACCAGGGGGCCACAATAACGAAAATTATCAAATGGATGCTGGCCATAAATTTCATGTACCTCGGGTTAAATCAGACAAATGGGTTTTAGCCACTTGCGCTGTTTCAGACACCCAAGTCTAGGGTAAGTTGACAGGTAGACAGGTTCAAAGGTAACATAAACATTTGATGTACATAGAATGTCTTGTTGTCTGAAGGTTTGAACTTATAAACTGCAGAAGTACCAGTCAAAGGCCTTCACCAGAACTAATACAAACCTTTATTTCATAAGGTTAGATCGGTATCCTGCAAACAATTCTACATAGACTATGTTTCGTTTCCTTAACGACCTAACAGTCTATAGTACAGAAGAAGTAGAGTTTATCTGAATATCTGACAATGTGGCAGTTCTAAGGCAAACAAGCTCTTAGGAATTAAAAACAAACGAAAAATAAAGTCAAGGAAATGTAAAATGACGTGAAGAAAAGAACATTCGGGAAGATAACTCTTTGATGATCCTGGCATAAATCAACCTACTTACAATTATCCTAGGGATAAAAGAACGTTGGTTCTTAGCTATGATCAGAGCTGAGCCTTAGAGCAATTTGATTTCATCTTCAACAAAGCAGACCTTGAACTTTAAATTTAATAACATCAAGAAGATCAGCAACTTAAACTAGAAAAGGTTCAATTTTAAGCGGAGATTCGAGAGAAATTTAAAATTGAGAGCGTTGTATTTAACTTGTTTTTTTTTTTTTTTTTGGTTTGGTTGTTGTTCATTTTTTATTTATTTCTTTGAATGTATCAGAAAACAAACATAGAAAACCCCATGTATCAGAAATCAAACATACAAACACATATATCAGACACCAAACATACTAAAATCCCATATATCTGACAACAAACATACAAACACATATATCAGAAATCAAACATACAAACACATATATCAGAAATCAAACATACAAACACATATATCTGACACCAAACATACAAACACCCCATGTATCAGACACCAAACATACAAACACATGTATCTTACAACAAACATACAAACACCCCATATATCAGACACAAAACATACAACCACATATACCAGACACCAAACATACAAACACATGTACCAGACACCAAACATACAAACACCCCATATATCTGACAACAAACATGAATGAGAGTAGAGTTTACCTCAGCTAGACTTGTGCCGGTCATGTTGATCCGCTGGTTGAGATCAATTAGCGTGGAGGAGAGGGGTGGGCCAAGCGGGGGTAGGTGTGGGGCCAGAGACTGGGGGAGGGACGGTGGCGGCTCCATGGTGGTCACTACGGCTCCCCGCCCCCCGGGCTAAACGGTAGGTGGTCCGCTTGATCTGTGGGATAAACGAGACAACAGATGGATTAAAGTTGTGTCATTGGATTATCACTTGGATTAAAACTTCACATTTCAAAGTACTTCCTCTTGTTTGAATACAAAGGTTCCTTGGCTATAAGAAGGTACAAGAATTCATCGATATATATATATATATATATATATATATATATATATATATATATATATATATATATATATATGTATTTATATATATATAAATACATGAAAGTATATATGTTGGTGTGGGTGTTAATCTTTTATTAATTGCAACAACATTTTGGCAATTTCTTGAGAATATTTCTGAGATTGTTCCTGCAATAAAAAGAATCGCCGACATTCTGTACAATCGAGACACATTCGATGACGCTGTACAATCGAGACACATTCGATGACGCTGTACAATCGAGACACATTCGATGACGCTGTACAATCGAGACACATTCGATGACGCTGTACAATCGAGACACATTCGATGACGCTGTACAATCGAGACACATTCGATGACGCTGTACAATCGAGACACATTCGATGACGCTGTACAATCGAGACACATTCGATGACGCTGTACAATCGAGACACATTCGATGACGCTGTACAATCGAGACACATTCGATGACGCTGTACAATCGAGACACATTCGATGACGCTGTACAATCGAGACACATTCGATGACGCTGTACAATCGAGACACATTCGATGACGCTGTACAATCGAGACACATTCGATGACGCTGTACAATCGAGACACATTCGATGACGCTGTACAATCGAGACACATTCGATGACGCTGTACAATCGAGACACATTCGATGACGCTGTACAATCGAGACACATTCGATGACGCTGTACAATCGAGACACATTCGATGACGCTGTACAATCGAGACACATTCGATGACGCTGTACAATCGAGACACATTCGATGACGCTGTACAATCGAGACACATTCGATGACGCTGTACAATCGAGACACATTCGATGACGCTGTACAATCGAGACACATTCGATGACGCTGTACAATCGAGACACATTCGATGACGCTGTACAATCGAGACACATTCGATGACGCTGTACAATCGAGACACATTCGATGACGCTGTACAATCGAGACACATTCGATGACGCTGTACAATCGAGACACATTCGATGACGCTGTACAATCGAGACACATTCGATGACGCTGTAAAATCGAGACACATTCGATGACGCTGTACAATCGAGACACATTCGATGACGCTGTACAATCGAGACACATTCGATGACGCTGTACAATAGAGACACATTCGATGACTAAACCGAACCAGGGGAAGCACCGGGCGCCCTGCGATAGTGCAACTGGTGGTTTCCGAGAGATCCCCGCGACACCCTGACCCCCGGGCTGTCAATGAGGGTGGTAGTGTGGACAAACAACTAATAACAAAGAAATAACGCCAATTTTTGTTTAAATTTAAATAGCCTTGTTTCGTGTGTACACACATTTTTTAGATTATAAAATTGTGTACGTGTGTGACATCACATTTTCATTTCCTAATTGTCACGCGTTAATTATACCACATTGGAATATGTCTGATTATTATAATTACCCGTGTTGCCATGACTACATATAACTAACAACGTTTGTTTCTCTAACAGACCCGTGGTCAAGGCCTCTGACCAATCCATACACGACCTCCAGAAACTCGCCATGCATGAGAATGACCCCAGCGTCTTGAAGCTTCCCAGAGTTGGCAAGCAAGGCGTGGCTTTGTACATTTAGAGAAGACAACAGGGAATGCAAATTTCAAGGGCTAATCAAAGAAAGCTATTTTTGTTTTCTCCCTACTTGACCCCGGGTCAATGAGATGTATGGGCCTCTCGCCCATCTATTCTCTTTATTGCACTCAGGCAGTCAGAGGTGTGGACTCGGTTTTATGTCGGTCACTTAAACCATGAGCCGGTTACCGGCACTCAAACCTATGAGAGTGTTACCGGCACATAAACATATGAGCCGGTTACCGGCACTCAAACCTATGAGACGGTTACCGGCACATAAACATATGAGCCGGTTACCGGCACTCAAACCTGTGAGCCGGTTACCGGCACTCAAACCTATGAGTCGGTTGCAGGGACTTAAACCTATAAGCCGGTTACCGGCACTCAAACCTATGAGACGGTTACCGGCACATAAACATATGAGCCGGTTACCGGCACATAAACATATGAGCCGGTTACCGGCACTCAAACCTATGAGTCGTTTGCAGGGACTTAAACCTATAAGCCGGATACCGGCACTCAAACCTATGAGACGGTTACCGGCACATAAACATATGAGCCGGTTACCGGCACATAAACATATGAGCCGGTAACCGGCACATAAACATATGAGCCGGTTACCGGCACATAAACATATGAGCCGGTTACCGGCACTTAAACCTATAAGCCGGTTACCGGCACTCAAATCGAGAGACATATCCTAGGGTTGAAAGCAGATTGTGAGTAAAATTAATTAATTACAAACCGGATATCTGTAGCCCTTAGTCATCTGTAGCCTTAAGTCGCATGTAGCCCTAAGTCATACGTAGCCCTAAGTTATCTGTAGCCTTAAGTCACATGTAGCCCTAAATCATCTGTAGCTGTAATTCATCTGCATACGTAAATCACATGTAGCCCTAACTCAGCTGTAGCCCTAAGTCATCTGTAGCCTTAAGTCACATGTAGCCCTAAGTCATACGTAGCCCTAAGTCATCTGTAGCCTTAAGTCACATGTAGCCCTAAATCATCTGTAGCTGTAATTCATCTGCATACGTAAATCACATGTAGCCCTAACTCAGCTGTAGCCCTAAGTCATCGGTCGCCTTAAGTCATATGTAGCCCTAATTCATCTGTAACCATAAGACATTTGTAGTACAGCTATATAAACTATGCTATCTTAGTGAACAAAGTACGAAATGAAGTCAAAGTCAAATAGAATATGCAAACAGTCATCTATCGACGAATATTATGTATCATTTAACGTTACCCCAGCTGTTCCAAGCTCAATATAGTGTAGTTTAATTACGTCCCTGCTTCATTGGATATTTTAATATATCATCCAGCTTTATATTCTTGCCATACACTAGAACACACTATCGACTATTGCTAGCTATAAGCTATAAGCTATAAGCTATCCACCCACCAAATGATCTATCGCTAGCTATAACAAGCTATCCACCCACCAAATGATCTATCGCTAGCTATCCACCTACCAAATGATATATCGTACCGTCACACAAATTTCGGTAAAAAAGTAATATCACAAGTGATACTCACATTTGATACACACTGTTATATAGGCATAGGTTACAAGCTATCATATAAGCTATGAAACACTCTACAAAACACCCAATGATAACCCTATGATACACACAATGATGCAACCCATGATAACCATATGATACACCATATGATACACCCTATGATAATCCTATGATACAACCCAGGATACATCCTATGATACAACCCATGATACTCCATATGATACAAGCCATGCTTCACCATATGATACATCGTATGATACAACCCATGATACAACCCATGATACACCATATGATACAACCCATGATACATCCTATGATACACCATATGATACACCATATGCTACACCATATGATACATCATATTATACACCATCAGATACACCTTATGATACAACCATGATACATCCTTTAATACAAAGCCAAGATACATCCTATGATACACCATATAATACAACCCATGATACAACCCATGATACACCCCATGATACAACCCATGATACACCATATGCTGATCACGATCAGCCCTTCCCCTCCTGTACTGAGATAACCCTATTAAAACCACGTGACTACTGCCACCATCTTGTTTTAAGCGTATGATTTTAGGATCTATGACCGTGGCTTTCAAAAGGTGTTTTTTTCAAAATGTCAGATTAGGAGGAGAGGGGAAATGTTAGATTGGGGGGGGGGGGGGGGGTGAAATCTTGTCAGGTTCTTGCATCTGTAACCTCCTGCCCGAGTGTTTGAATGATGGAGGAAATCAAAGTTCTTTAGAGCTAAATGAACTGATTCCTGCATGGGTAAAGGCTGGGGGAATGGGGGGCACGGGGATAGGTATGGGGGGGGGGGGGATATTGCTCAATGACAGTAGTGACAGTAGTGACAGACAATGGCGAGGGGTCAGCAATAGTGAAGTTAATGGGTGGTCAGCAATAGTGAAATAATTGAGTGGTCAGTAATTAATAGTGATTATAGACGAAAATATATATATTAAGTACTTTTATTAATTCTATTTTAGATATTGTCAAATATTTGCCTAGTATTACTACTAGTCCGATGAAAACGTCGAACTAAAGCAGCATTTATGAGGGATAAAACCGGTATCTTCTTAGCCAGTTAGCCGGAAATAACCGGTCAGCCAGGCTCTTAGAGCCACAGGGCCACAGAGCCACAGAGCCACAGAGCCACAGAGCCGCAGAGCCACACAGATCCACACAGAGCCACACAGCCACACAGAGCCACACAGAGCCACACAGCTACACAGAGCCACACAGAGCCACACAGAGCCACACAGAGCCACACAGAGCCACAGAGCCAAAGAAAAGTTTGAATGTTTCAAGGACAACACCACCATAGCTCATAAGACGACACCGCCCATTTTCTTTAACCTTCTAGCCTGCTGCTACACTAGGGTTAGACGAGCAGATATTTGTGTCAACATTACAGAGGAAGTAGATGAGACTAACTTGTTGTCAGACAGATTGAATTTAGACCAAAATAGCCTTGGAAATAACTCGTTTTTTTTTCTCCTGGAGACCGCGACTTAACGACAAATAGAAAACGTTGTTATGTGGCAGATTTTTTTCCTTCATAATCTTAAAAACAACTTCCGACTTTCAAACACCAAAAGGCATGAACGTGTTTACAAACTTTACTTGATCTTTGTGTTGAGCTCACAGGGCCAACTTGTATCCTTCTGCACAGCTGTCTGCCCCGGGGAGGGGGGTA